TAGTGCCAACAGTTTTCCTACTGATGGGAATAGACACAATCCATCTATGTTGAAATTTAAAACAGTTGAGAGTTAGTGAAACCACTTTAACTCTGATGTTCTTTTTTACTAATGTTAATGATTCTGGTCTCCAGAATGTCAGCTCAGGATGTCTTTTTTTTCTGAAAAGAACCACCATTTTTGTTTTGGCTCTTTTGCAGTATATGAGGGGAGAAACTTAATTGCACTTCTTTGCTTTTCTTCATCATGCAGGATGGCCGTTACAGCATTAATTATATTTGCTTTTGTAACCTGATGTGCCTGCTTACCTGAGCTGGTAACATAAATCACAAGAACTTGTTATTCTGCATTAGTTAGAAGAGTTTCTGGTCTGGTGTGCATGTGCATATGTGTATATATATTTGTATGTATATAGATGTATGTTTTTATCTGTTATCTGCCCCATATGCTTTTCGTAATCTGTTTTAACCCTCCCAAACCTAGCTCCTCATTATGGGAGGGCTTAGGAGATGAGGACTGAGACCCAAGGTAGGGAATCACCCCTATCTTGGGCCTCAGCCCTTGCCTCAACTAATTTTTTCTTGGTCCTTTCTTCTCTTCTTTCCTCTTCTGTATCTTCTTTATTCCCTTCTTCTATTTCATTCCCAAGGTATGAGAGGCTGAAAGGATGAAAGGCTGGCTTTGTGTCAAGTCATGAATGGCCTCCGAGACCCATGGGTATGGTATTCCCTTGGTTAATTGTCTAGCCCTTATCCTTTATGGGGACCCAGAGGAGCAGACCGTTTCTTTTCCCCAGTTTATTCAGGCTCACCATGGCCAGTAATGAAGATTCTTTACCCTTAATAGGGGCATTAAGGCTTGCCCCTTCATCAAATAGCCTATCTGAATTTGATTTTGATGGTTTTCCGACCCCTGCCCCTCTTTTGACTACGGCTCCAACCACTGATACTAATACCCCCTCTTTGACGCTTATGAACAACTCTAACCATTCCAAAACACCCACCCAGGTTATTACTCAACCCATAGAAAGCACCTCTTCATCATCCCCAACATTCTCCTCTTCATCTCCTGCTGCACAATCCCCTTCAATGTCAACCCCCTCTTCCCTTATTACTACTCTTCATCCTAATTGTCCGACCCCTCGCAGAACTCCTTCACTCCACACTTCGCCATCTTCCTCTCGCCCTCGTCCTTCCACTGCCTCTTCCTCTGCAAACCATCTGAGTACTCTCTTTGGGCCAGCCAAGTTGGATCCATTCTTTGTGATTCCCCCCACACCCCCTATTCTGAGAATACACTTCTCTTTCAGCAGTGCCTCCAGAAACAAATCGGCAAGGTTACCTTTTGCAGTCGCTCTGATTGTTCATGCCTTGTCAAGATTACATCAAAGCCCAAGTTCGTCCACTATCTACCCTAACCTTACTGGCAAACCCATTCCTGCCGAACCTCACCCATCTTTTAATACTTGTGCTGGAACTGTTTCTATTCCCCCAAATGCTTGTCCCATATATAACAAGGACTGGTCAGACTGTGAAAATGACCTACTTTCCTGCCTTGGTGAATATGATGCAGTGGCAGTACAGTGTTACACTCTTCCTCCCAGAGGCAAGCGTAAATCCCATACCAATATTGTCAAGATTAGCTTCTATAGACAAGACCTCCCCCATCAGGTTTATATTGGTGGATTGTCTTATTATTTAGATAATATCGACCTCTTCCTCGTCAATGTTGGTGTTTTGGCCACCTAGCCCTCTATGTGCCCAACGTTGTCATGACCTTTCAAATTGCCATGCTCAGTCACGTACATGTGCCAATTGTGGAGACTCCCATAATGTGTTTTATAGGAGCTGCCCTGCCTGTAAGTTTGAATATGAGGTAGCAGTCCTCAGATTTAAACTAAGCCTCACTCTACTTGAGGCTAGACAACTTATTTGAAAACAGTCCTATGCTCTGCTCCCCCACCGTCTACACAAGATGTTTCTGCATCTGCCCAGGTATCTCTCCCCTATACCCTAAACCTAAGTCCTATGTCTACTCACCCTGTCCAACAGCCAAATCCATTTTCCATTCTAAATCCAGATATTCGTATCTCTACCACTTCCCAGATACATACGCCTCCTCCTCACTTTTGTTGTTGTACCAGGCAACCTAAAAGTTCCATTCCACTGAATACTGCTCCCTCATCCACCCCCCAATTCTTCTGTTCCTACTTATGCTACATTTAAAGTATTTGCAGATATCCATCCTCCTACACCCTCCCAACATACCCCACCCTCTCTACCGCTTCCACTTGAATACTCACACGAATCCCCTCTACCACAACAGTGTCCTTCTCCAGACCCCTTCTCTCCAGATATTCTTCCTGATACTTCACCACCTTCCCCAGTCTCCCTTTCTCAGCCTCTGGAATCTTCTCCTCCTACTTCTCCAACAGCCACCTCTATTTTCCTTGATCAATATCCCTACTCCATCCCCAGTCACAGATACACTGCAATTCACTCAGTTGCTCTACCCCCTTATATTCCCCCAACCCCTTCCCAAAATACCTCACCCTTCAACCAGCCAAACCAAAACCACCTCCAAAACCTGACTCTTTTCCACATACCTCATCCTCTCAACAACCCCCCCCCCCCAAATCCCCCCAAAAAAACATCCTTCCCCACCATCCCTCCCACTCCCTCCTGGATACACATATATCTCTTTTATCACAATATCCTTCCCCAGACCCTACTGTCCCTATCGAACCCCCAGACACTACTCCTTCACCTACTCCAGATCCTTTATCTCAACCCTCAGATACCTAATCCCATACTACTAAGACAGTCATATCTACTGCTATCACCTGATATCTATATTCCTTCCCCAGTCACAGATTTACTTAATCACTCTACCTCCCTCCTTTCCCTTTTCGTTACCATACTTTCCTAAACCACTCTCTAATCTTTGACATCTAACACCTTCCCCTCCTCCCAGATGCCTTTCCTACTTTTCAACAGCTATCTCTATTCTTCCTTGAACATTTTTCCTGTACCTTCCCAAGTGACAGATTCGCTATAATTCCCGCAATCGCCCAACCTCCTTCACCCTCCCCTTTTTACTAATTTGTGCTCTAGTTCACTTGCTCCCCTTTTTCCCCTTTTCACTACCATACTATCCTATAACGCTTTCAAACCTTTTACATCTTAACACATTTCATTATAATCTTTAATTCTACTTTGCCCTTTCCGACGCAATACTTTACCATAGTGCTATATGACCTTTGATGTCTAGCACGTTTAATTTCAAACATAAAAAAATAAGTTTTAACAAAATTAATATTTTTATTGTTGTAGGGAAAAGAAGTGGATTACAATACATGATACAACTATGAAGATCTACAAGTGGGTCCCAGTTATTTCAGATGTAAGTTTTTACAAAATTTTTCTAACTTGCAAAGATAGATATGTACAGAACATCTAAAAATTATATTTATCTGCAGTTTGAAACAGGATTTTATGTAGATATCCCTTTATCAAATAAATGAATATATGAATTAAATCTGCTTTAGAGGTAGCTTTTTTTGTAAAAGTGAATTTTTTATTCATTTGTTTCTTTTGAGTATTGTATACGAACCAAATATTTTTTTCCAACAGGACCGAAAGAAGAAAAATAGTAGTTCCAACAAGGAGAACCGAATGTGCAGTCGTGACAGCAGTATGTCTGCCTTTCACATGGGGGGGGATGATTCTAATACAGGTATCTCTTTTTTTCCTTATATGTTTGTTATTCTGATTTATCTAGAATCGTTGCAAGTCCAATCAGTAGTGGCTGAAATATTTGGCAAAGAATAAAGACAGTATGTTGATGTAATTTGCATTTGAAACTGAGAAAGGTATTATGCATGCTTTGTCTCTTGATTGTACAAAAGATAAACCAGAGAAGGTAATCTTTAACTTTAAACTTTAAACAGCTGTAAACTTGATCTGTAGAATTTCATATTCTCAGCTGCAATAGATTTTAACTGGTAATGAAGTTCTTCAAGAGGCCCCCCCATACACAAACATGCACATATATTTCCACAAATTACTTCAGCTCTTCCTTTAATGATTATTTTCATTTTTCCCCAGCCATGTCCATGATGAGTGACTCACAAGATGCCACAGATTTCTCTTCAAGTCAATTCAATATCTCAGAAGATTCTAATTCCGAGCCTCCTTTCAAGAAGAAGTTAGCTGAGTGAATGAGAATGATGATTCAAATGTAATCATAAGAAATAGGCTAAGTGAAAATATTTCCGTGAATAACTTATCGAGTGTCAGTGGATAATAACTTCATGATGTAATTTATAATGGAATACAAATTTCTAACCATTCATTAGGAAGAGTATTTTATGTGTAAAGAACTAGGATTTTTCATTTGTTTATTATTTTTTCAAATGTTTATACGTATGAGCAAGCGCACAGATGACAATTTTTCAGGGTTGCTAAGACCACCAGTTTATATTTATATTACCTAAAATATTGATAGGATTCTTAATATGTTCAAAGTAACTCTTTGAATTAATGTACCTCTTTCCAAAATTTAAACTATATTGTGGTGAAGACTTACTGCATATTTTTCTTCACTATTTGATTTTCATAACATTTGCATATTCCTGTAAGCTGTGTATTAAAATCATACTTGTTTGTACATACTTCATACAGTGGAATTGTACAAATGTTGGTATTTTGTAAAAGGTTCTTTGAATTACATCTTTGACAGTTAAAATTTCATTTATTATTTGAATGTCATTATTGATTTATTAAAGTCGTTAGCATTACTGGCTTTTTTATTTCTTTAAGCAAAAATCAGTTATTTTGATTTGTAAAGTGTTATAGGAAGCATATATTGCAATTATTTTCAGGGGACCGTCACCATGTAATCTGGGGTGCCCTTAATATGGGACCTAGATTTATTTTACTATTTCTTTTTGATTGGTAACCTTTTAGATACAGTACATCTCTAGTTTGGTCTCATTTAGCAAATAAGTAAATCAAATAAAAAATGAAATTGTATTTCTTGTCTTTTGCACCATTTTCTTGAGTTAATCATATCATAATAAACAACCTAAGTTGATGAAAACAATTTGATATCTTTCAGTGATTATGTAAAACTGGCACTGATGATTTTTTTTCCTTTTATTAGTCTCAATAACTGATTTTGAATTATCAAGAAAAAACAAAATTCTGTCTCAATCTTACTTTAAAAAGTAGCAAAAATGGTACTGTCTTTACAAAATGCATAAAAAAGAAGAAAATCATAAAAGTATTGATAAAGATATAAACAAAATAATAACAATAAAAGACATAGCAGTTTGAATATATAAATCATATTGGACATTACATTGACTGTCAGATTTTGAATCGCTATTGCCACAGCAAGCCACAAACTAATATTCTGAGAGTTTACAGATGTTGCTTCAAGTTAATTCCATGGACCCATGATTTTTTACTTAACTTTCCCATAAAAGTTGATAAAATTATTTCATTAGGTATGTCTACAGACTGAGTGATATGGGTATGCACAGAGGGGAACAAAAGAAGTTACTGTCTCTATTTTTTATTATTTCCTTACCAAACTGTCATACTCTAGGTCAGTCTTGCCTAATCCCTCTATTTTTTTTTTTTTTTCAGGAAGAAAGAAAGAAAGAAAGAAAAAGAAAAAAAGACCAAAAATGTGACGGTCCCTTTAAGCCATGGGCAACTAAGTATATGTACTGTCTATAGATGACCTCAAAACTCCTCACCAAGGAGTCAATTAGTAAGCTTGGTGCTTTTATCAAATGAGATAGAAATGTGTATTTGTATATCAGCCTCTGTATACACCAAGTATTTGCATATAAAAAGGACACTAAAAACTAAGTTTCAACCATTTACCATTGTATTGTATATACTTCTCAAATATGAACATCAACATTAATAGATGGTTTATGGCTTCCAACAAATTCAATTTGTTATAGAAGTAGTTTGAATCAAGTACATTTATATATGGGGATAACTATGAAGTGATAAATGGAGACCCAAAACACAACTATTGAAGCCATGTTGGATGGGAAAGCCATATTCTACACAGGGTTTTGTTGTCGGAAATGGTGCTGTAGGTTATTGCCCCTCACTCCAAGCTTCAAGTCGTACCTGCTTCGAACTTTCTGAAGGTACTTCTGATCCCAGAATTTCCTAGAATAAAAAATTATTGATGATGAAACACAGAGGGGAATTCATGGGAGAGAAAATGAGAGAAAACATCAACAATACTATATTACAGAAGTTGAGAAAAATGTTTTTGTCTAGTAATATTCAGACATTAATTAAACGAGTCTGAGGAGTAATCCTCTTTCAACACAACTTACTTCACTGCATCATTTCCACTGGTTCCTGTCCAGCCAAGTGAGCGATAATGTGCTAGAAGGCTTCGGAAAGTAGATCCATGCTTCTTCTTCTCTACTTCCTTGCGGTAGGGATTCAAATTTTGCCTGTACATGGAAATTGATATTAGAAAGTGCAGCTGATTATAAACTTGTCATTTATATCTTCATTATTTTTTTTTTTTCCTATACCTATTATTATTTTTTTTCCTAAACCTATTTCTGTCTCAGAATGTACAAATACAAATTTATGTGTGGCATCAAGGACAGCCTTTTGTCAATATGGTAGGAGGGATTAAGTCTCTTTCCAAGTAGAGGCTCCTCTAACTTTTTTTTCTTTCTTTCTTTTAACCCACTAACGATGGGTGTCCCACATATGAGGCACCCGAAAAAATAAACATTGCTGGATGTCCTGCCAGTGTGACGCTGTATCGGGGCTTGCGCTCGGACGCAGCAGCGGGCCGCAGGCAGAGTCAAGGCCAGCCCCACACGCCGATTTTGTAGCTGCCCAGAATCTTTTATTTTCGGCTTTAAAATATACCGGTGTTATTGGGTTAACCATCTCCTATATAAAAGGGGATTTTGGGGAGATGCTCTTAAAAGAAACATGTGTAGTAAGCTACAGGGTGATTCAGTACGGTGGCCAGTTCCTTTGCACCCTGAATTTGACCCCACCCTTCTGACAGCACTCACTCACAGCTGAGTCAACTATGAGGGGGACTATCTGGAACCTTGCAATTGCAAAGCAGCACTCTTCCATGACCTATGCCACTTCTGCCCAATAGCCCCCCCCCATCCCAGATGGGGGGGGGGGTCAAATTGAGTATAGTATAGGTACATGGATGAGGAAACTACCAAACGACTATTAAGGCCCTGCTGTGGCTTGTTGCTTTACAACTAATGAGCGCCCAGGTACACCTATGTGGACTTTTGCTTGTTGCCATCGTGCATACGGCATTTGATTATGACACTGCCCATAGATATGAGTTTGTGAATGTTCAAGGAACAATTTTATACCAATATCAGGAAAAAATTATATCACCATGATTTATGACAAAATATTTTGTGAAATATAAGTTTTGTAAGTTTTGTGTCCTTTTACATACGAAATATGCTTCCATCGAGACTCCCTGGTAATATGTTGTAGGTTACGAAGTAATCTGTACATATACCGTGTACGAAACACTAATGTTTGAAAATAGCCATATCAGTAAGAATTGAAATATTTCCATTACATTTTACTCAACAGTCGTTACATCACAGTATGGGTAAATTTGATTTGGTTGTTACTGTTGTAAAGGCTGATTCAATACGAAGGTTACCTAAATGTCGGATTTTTGAACTTCGGATGCATAAGCAAGATACTGATTATTTTATATTGATGATAGTACTCAGTAATACCCGCTCTGAAATAAAAACTATATGGAATATTGAGATCGTTTGTGTGCGCAGTCTAGAGTTAAAAAATCTATTGTATTTGTTTTATGTGCTCCTGATAAAAAATAATATGTTTAAATGTTACCGTAGGTCTTAGGTTCCATAAATTCGCAAATATCCCACCACACCTCAGCGTCTGCATGATTTTATGCACTTCTGAGTAAAGATAATGGGTGTAAATGGCTAATCAACAACTCTACACTCTTTTGCCTTTGCAATCTGTTAATATAGACAATTATTAAAGAAAACAGTTTATAGGGTAATTAATATATTCTATTCCTCTAGATATAAAAGTCAATGTAGGCCTATTAAATGAGGATGATTCATTTTTTAAAACTTTATGTATGTGTGTTCACGTACATATGATCCTCCTCGAAAATTATAAACACCCAGTGACCATCTCCCCCTCGCTCCCCGTGTGGAGAATGGGAAAAATTCAACGACTTCGGTAAGTTCTCGAATTCCATACTAAATTTTAAAATTGCCAAAATTGAACCACCATGTTGTATTCATGTTAGGACTTTATAATTAGAATGATTTTGTACTTATGTTGCCATCCACAGTTCCCCATTTCTTCAAAATTGAAGTAAAAAGGGAGAGAGAGAGAGAGAAAAAAAAAAGTTTTATCTGGTTTAGACTAGTTGTTTCTCTGTTTCAATACATGTATTAAACTTTTCAGACAAAAATATATATTTTTATATATATGGAAACAAACAAACAAACAAACAAACAAAAACTATGGCAAATCTTTCCTATTGAAAATGGTAATTCCGACTGACTTGGTAATCATCGCATCGCAAAGTACACTAAATAAACTTATATACATATATATATATATATATATATATATATATATATATATATATATATATATATATATATATATATATATACACATATATACATATATCATTAGATTTAGAGAAAAATAACAGAGATAATAACAAACTTTGGCAAGTGGTCAAAATATAATACTCCGCTGTTTCTTGCATGTAAATGGCCGATTTTAAAGTTTTGACAATTAAAAAATATAATTTTTTTAATGCTGAAAAAACAAAAACAAAAATAGTACTCTATGTCAACCAGGAAATGTAAAAATCGGCCATTTACAAGTCCTTAGGCTAGAATAGATCTAACACATGAATTTTTTGTGGTTTGTTCAGGACAAAACTGTGGGCCACATTATATACAGAAGAGGGGAAAAAAAGGTGGGGGGGGGGGCTAAACAATTCTATATTATGCAAAAAGAATCAATGAGTTATCTCCATCCAATTTTTTTTTTTTTTTTTTTTTTTTTTTTTTTTTTTTTTTTTTATGATGAAATGAGTAGGGAAAGGTGGTCCCTTCAACAAACATAACATACAAAAAAGAAACCTGAACTAACTTGTAGTATCGCCTGAGAGACCTGTGACCTATTACAGCACCCGATGGTAACACAAGTTCACTTTCATCTCCTGTAATAATATTGGCTTCCACATCATCATCTGGGGATGCAGATTCTGAAAAAAGGAATCAAAATGAATTCAAATATGCAGGAAGGATCAATCATAATGAAAAAGATAATAACTATAATGTAGACATTTGTAAATAACTATGTAACAGATTAGATTGGGGTCTTACCAGCATCAGGATATGATGTGGAATAGTCATAGAAGTCACCATATTCCAGAATTGTGTCTCCTTTTAATTCAATATAACTGTGCTTTTGGTCTTCAATGTGTTGTCTTATAGCTGTGAGAGAGGGGAGTCGTCGAGCTTTCCATTTGCAGACTAGGCATTCAAACCCACACCCGATCTATAAATGTATATTTTATAATTATTTAACCATCAACTGTGGAATTATACAAATGCAAGTGGGTCATGACCTATTTGAAATTTGAAACAATCTGAAACAGTTGCACTCTCTGAGCAGCATTTCAGGGGGACAGATTTTCAGTAAGATGTTAACCACTAGCCGACGGGTGGCATGTATGTACATGCCATGGCTGTTGTAGACCAAAAAACAGATGGCATCTCATCATGCCCATTCCCGCACCATTGGCATGTTAGACAGAGTTTGTTTTTCTCTGATAGTAGAGGCTTCATTTATTTATTAAAGATTTTAGGCAATAGCACCTATAATGAAGGTAAACCTTCAAAATTATAAAATTTTTATTAATTATAGAAAAATAAGAGCTTTTAGGTGCCAAATGTCGCCCACAAACTACTAAACTA